TTAATGGCAACCGGTCATACGCTAATTAGCCGAGGACATGTTAGCATCTGAGTCCAAATGAGGGAGAAGAAAATCACTGCTGCTGCTGCTGCTGATGATGATGATGATGTGGCCGACTTGTGTTTTTAGCAAATAAATAAAAGTGGCATTTGATTTGTACAGAAATAACATTTCATGGGGAAAAAAGGTCTGTACCTGCACTATTAAAATTTTTTATTTTTTTTTTGTTAACCCTTGAGCATCAATTTGAAAAAGTTACACAGAGGTCATAAAAATATATATATTTATATTTTTTTCCACTTTCACTGTCATTGATCTTTTTACTAACATTAGTCCTGATCATAATTACCAAAAATTCATTCATTTTCAGGATTTTAACCATTTAAATACCATTTTGTTTGTTTTACGTAATACCATTTTTTTATGGGAGAAAACACACACACACAAAAATCTATTAACTTCCATATATTAAATGCTAGGATTTTTCCCCCAAGACACATTACATGCTAATCAATCATTTTGATGCATTATTATTTTAGTGCAATGTAAGAATTAAATAAACAAATAAACAAACAAACTACCATTCACACAAACCTCTGATATCCACATGAATACATCAACACAATTATAATTACAACATTTCAATTAAATTGGCCTCTTTTTTTAGCAGAAGCAGAAAACAGAAAAAAAAAACTTGCTCCATAGGCCAAACCTCAGAAAATTGTGCTATCAGGTGGAAAAAAGTAAGAATTTAAAAAAATAGTAAAAATAATTAACAAAGAATGCATGATTTTATGATTAAATGGCACTGGGATTAAATGTTGCTGGTGTAATGGGGACATTTTTATCCTTATTGTCCCGAGTGTAACTATTTTTTGTACATAGAGTAATAAATTTATTAAAGGAAACTAGAATAAAATATTAAAATATCAATAAAAATACACATCTTTGACAACGTTTATAGTGTTTGCATTAACACAGCCAAAAAAAAATGAAAAAGACAAAATTGTCCCTAAGAACGCACAAGGGTTAAAACAGTTTCAAAGTAAATCCTACTCCTCTTTTTTTTTTTCAGTGCTTTTGGCCTGTTCTATTGTCCACCAGTAAAAAAAATGATTGCGCAATGATTCATAATGAGCACAAACAGTGCAAGAAAATTCACTCACAAAATTGTAATGTTGCTTCACAGTGTTTCCCCCTAGGTTTACGGCTTTGGGGGGGGGTTCCGTATTTTTAAATTTTTTTTCTGGACTTTTTTTAGTGAGTGAGTGTGTGTGTGTGTGTGTGTGTGAGAGAGAGTGTGTGTGAGTGAGTGAGTGTGTGAGTGAGAGTGAGAGTGTGTGTGTGTGTGAAAAATATTAAACTTATATGTAAAAAGTATTAAACTTCAAAAAATATACAAAAATGTAATGAATGTAATAAAAAATGCACTGACAATAATTATGTAGATACTGTATGTTTTCATGTCTGTGCAAATGTAAGTAAATGTATGTTACAGAAAAGAAATACAAATACTCATGAGATCACATACATGTTTAAATACATCAGTTTGAGTTATTATACAAGTAGAAAACAAAGGATAAAAACATTATCAAACTCTTTACATATAATTTGTAAAATACAATGAAGAACTCACTATTTGTACACAGCGTTTTAATGTATTAACAATGTAGAGACTAGAATTTATAAACTGAATTTATTAAGAATTTATGGCATAATTATAATTAAACTTTTCCCCACTAAATCAAAGTCATGCACAACATGAAGACTCATGAAGAAAATAAACACAAAACACAAAATTATATCATAGAGAGAATAATTTGACTTTATGATTAAGTGTTTCAGGTTTTTTTATTATTTATTGTGATATTTATTAATTATCAGGATATTTATTAATTATTAATTCACAACATTTAGAAAATATACATTATAACTTGAAAAATATGTTTAAAAGTGGAAAATAATGATTAAGATGGAAGCACTCGCATAAATGCAAGGTGCAAGAAAAATGCATTTTGCATAATGCCGTACACCACCATGTGACACTAGGCTTGGTTGGCAGGCTACCTTGGGGAACCAACAGGCAGGGAGTCTCAGGCTGGTAGAGCAGGACTGGAGGGAACACACAGCACACACACAAATACACAAAACACCACTACTCAGCGCAACACACAGAAACAACAGTATGTACCAAGGGGGACGTGGCAGAGGGTCATCCAGGCAGATATTAAAGGCCTCCTTGAGGGGTGAATCATCATACTCCAGGCCCCTGGACCTGGTCCAAAAGAACTGGGCAAAGGCCCTCACCTCCCGCCCCTGCTGACGAAGTGCTCCCAGGCCTTGCTGGCGGGCCAGTCTTGTGTAAATAATGAGTGACATATACGAGCGACAGATCGCTTCCGCACATGCGTCTACTATCATAGATATGTATAGATGCCCTATTCGCCCGCTCCAGATACGTTGACGCGTCCGCCATTTTGGAACGTATTGCGGCCCATAGGAACAGTCACTAATGAGGCATCTACTTATATATATCTATGTCTACTATGCCAGAGCACGTACACGCTTCACGCGCCGGATGTTGTGAACACGCTCAGATCAGAGGTAAAAAACTATATAAATACTGTTGTTTCTTGCACAGACAGTTCGTTTCGTGTCTTAAGACCTCAATGTATCGCCACGAGCCGCAGGGTTTAATTTTTTTTTTTTTTTTTTAGTGCACTTTTCTTCTGGGCTCAATGTGCCAGCCGAGCAACTGGCATTGACATGAATAGGGATGCAAACTGAATAACTGCTTTAGAGCTTGTATGTGACGGGTGCATGGCAGGGAGCGTGTGATGTCAGTCAAACAAGAAAATTGTTTCAGAGGAAGAGCAAGTTATTACATTTTGATGAAAGATTACAGGGACAAACTTCTTTTTTTTTATTTATATATATTTCATTCTTCAGTGTCTAGCTCCTGTCTGTGGCTCTGTTTCGGTCTCTGGAGCGCGTTCGTCTGCTGGAGTGTTTGATGGGGCTGGTCACTCTGCTGCCAGAGGAGCTGGAGGATGAAGAACGGCCTCTCTGCCTCCTCTTCCTCCTGTTGTCCCCGCTGTCTGACGAGCGACGGCCCATGTTCACTCCGCTCGCTGGGGTAAACAGTAGAAAGGCATTGACTGTAGGGCACAAACACCTGTCTCAGATAACAGAAATGTTATGCCATCACTGTGAATCAGTAGCTCAAGCCACACATGCCTGATAAGGATGCAAATTAAATTTTTCTAAGCTGTGAACACTCTGTTTTTTAATTAAAATGCATGCACACTCATGCAATTTAACATAAAATTATCGATTTTTCTTATTTGAGGTCTGCTACACAGTAACAGAAGTTGAAAAGAAAGCGGCAGAACATAAAACGCATGCATAAGGCAAGAAATGTGTTAAAAACGCAGGAAGCACATCAGAATTTGCATCCGTTCATATAATGTACTAAATCCCAAACCTTAATAAAACTCTGCGAAACTCGCGTTAGATGCACCTCCACTGTTTACAGATCAAGTGCCTTGTTTAATGAAGGAAAAGAACATAAACGGGAGAACGTGGAAACGTAATTATGAAAATTGCGTCTATAAAGGTTATAAAAACTATTAAAACCGAATGCTGTCAGAATTACTAGCTCGATTTCCTCCACATTTCCACGCGCTTCCTCTGTTATGCAACAAATAAACAGCACGTCTGCTAATATATTCTGACGCTTGTGTGTAAAACGATTGATTTTTAATATTCATACTCTTACCTAGATAACGACACACACTGCTACTGTGTCACAACAGCGCTGTGAGCCGCCGAGCAGACAGAAGCAACCGGGCTGGAGATCATCGATGCGCGCGCGGCAGGAATTACCAATCAAACATGATCGTCCGTCGCGTGATCACATCTTCTCATGATCAGCGTGAAATGCAACATTGTTTCTGTTCGTGCATTTCTCAGCGACAAGGTCGCCATAAGATCACATAAGTTAAACTTGGATTGTGTGTGTTATTTTTGTACTGAGAAATTGCAGGCTGAGTGAAATGGTTTTTAAAGGAAAAAGCGATTTTGAGATCAGGTTAAGCTTTCATATTTTTGGTCGGAATGTGTTATAAAATTATAATGGGCTATAAACTAATTTTCTGTGAGATGCATATAGAGACCGACAAATCTGAAAAAATACAAATGCGAAGGTAAAAGTAAAGGTAAACATGATTTGTCTCAAATGTTGAAGGTAAAAGTTCGACTACTTACAAAAAAAAAAAATATTCTAAAAGTCAAACTGAAGTCTTAGTTCCGTTGTCGCTTTTGGGAAGAAAAAAAAAACACGAAATTCTAACATCAATGTAAAGATTTAAAGATATGCATAATCTTCAACATAGCCTTGTAATAGTTTTACTCAACCTACTACAAGCCAATTACAGATTACATTAATTAATTGATATCGCCAAACACAGTCTAATAGTATGACGTCTTACTGGGGGGAAAAATATTTTAGGAAGATTATTATTATTATTATTATTATTAATAATCTTCGCGTTTGAGATGGAAATGCTTAGTTAGGTCTTAGAATAATACATTTTGGCAGCGTTTCGAATAATAAATGCGTGTGTGCTTGAAGAATTACTATAGCCTATATGAATAGGCTATAAGAGAGACATATAAGATACATATTGCATTGTGATGTAGGCTAATTATTAGCGCTGAGATGATGAGAAGCTGTGTTTTGTAATTTATCGATATCCTAGAAGACGTCTAGTTGTGTAAGTCATTTTCCGCCGATCTAATATTCTTGCTGTGTAGTAGGATTTGGTCTTTTTTTATTTGTATTTTTTAATTCGCTGTTGATGCCCAAATGCACGTATTTACTTTGCCGGCTAATTAACCATATTAGGCAAATAGGCCTACGTAATAATTTTACTAAGTTTGTGTAATTCAATAGCAATAATTTTAATTCAAGATTTTTTAAGTATTGCAAGTCATCAGGCTGCAGTTGCTAATAATAGAAACAGATGTCCTTTAAGTGTTGAAATATTAAAATTTTTTAAATAGTGAATATTTCTTTCATGCTGTAAGACATTTTGAATGAAAACAAAACGTGTTATTGCACGTGTAGCCCATTTTATTATTGCTTTACTACGAAGCTATTTTTATGGCTGTTATAATACCAATACACTTTGACTAAATTGTTCAAATTGGTTGTTTTGATTTAGATTCTCTTTAAATAATTTCGATTCAAGATGTTCTTCGTTTTGCCATTAGATTTTGAAACGACGCTTTATGGAAAACACACTCTAATATCATTGCATTAAATATATAGGCTACTGTATACAACAGACTGTTTATAGTCTAATTAGCCCGCAATAAAACAAGCCTCACAGCTGTTTTCTGAGAAGATTCAATTGTATTTCTCGTCTACAGAAGAACGGTGGGTCAAAATGAAATTCTTAATGATGCTGTTATGTGTCACTTCCATGATCACAGAGTGCATATTTTGTCTTTCCCCCTTCTCCTGGCTCTTCTATCACGCTCTCTCGTTTTCCAGCTCAGATCAAAGAGTGTCCATGGCGTGCCCTTTTCAGTTTTGGCCTCGTCCCAGCAGAGCTTTCCAACACCACCATCATCATGAACCCTGGTGTTTCCAAACTCTCACCAGTCCACGCTTAATCACATTAATTTGCTCCTCTTGTTAATCTTGGCCAATAGCGAGCACGGAAGGGTGATGTGGATCTGAAGGACAGATAAGGTTCCCCCTGCACCCCACCCCAGCCCAGCCCAGCCCAGCCCGCCTCTATGGGAAGGGGGCTCGTGGTAACGCGCGCGGATCAAGGGGCAGACGCTTCGCCAAGTATAAATAGTGTGACTTCAATAGTGAATCGGCAGCAAGTCCGCACACTCCGCAACAAGAGGAATTGTCAAAGATCTCGTCACATCACGTCGCATTCAGGCCGATAGAACGAGAACGCTGTTGATGTCTTATGGTAGACTGCTGGGGATCTAAAGAGAAGATTGATTTTTTCTTCTTCTTGGGCGCAGTGATGGAAGAACTTACCGCGTTTGTCTCTAAATCTTTTGATCAGAAGGTGAAGGAAAAGAAGGAAGTGATCACGTACCGGGAGGTGCTGGAGGCCGGCTCGGCGAGGAACAGGGAGAGTCTGTCAGTGGAACCGGTTCGCGAGGAGCTGAGCAGCATCACGCGGGGCGGCGTGCGCTCATCGCCGGCCAGAGAAGCGGACATGCTCGCGTCAGAGAGAACCAGAGACTCGATCAGCCCCAAACTCACAGACGGTGAGTGTTTCCTTCGTGTCTCTAGCGTTTATCCTGCGGGACATTTTTAAAAATGATTTCATCACGCTATTTCTTCTTCGAAGGCCTATTTATTTACTTTCTATACTATAAGTTTTAGAACTTCTTCGATTTCGATATTTTCTATTTTATTTGAAAGTCACATTAATTTCGTTCAGGCTACACGAAACGTGATAATCATATAATAATTTGACAGTCATCACTGTCATAATATGACTGAAGCAGCCTGAAAACAAACCTAAAGAACCAATCAAAAGTTAACAAGTGATACAATCGAGCGCTGTAACATTGCGGCTGTATTTTTGTTGTCGGATTGTAGTTTCATGCTATATATATATATATATATATATATTTATGTTAGTTGTGAAACTTCGTAGCCAGAGGTTAAGACGTTTGCAAGATTTACAGATTATGCATGAGATAACAGACTCATAAAATAAAATATGTAGGCTACCCGTATGTTAGGCTATACATTAAGGCTTTTATAGGCTTTTGCTAAACAGAAACAAATCATGTAGAAAACAAACAAACAAAGAATGTGCCAGTGGGTTATAAATCCACACGCATTTTATGCACGAGACACGCTGAAGGCCTATATTTCAATTAGCTATTTGAAATCTGAGATTTAAAATAATACCCTATCACGAGAACAGTAGGTATAACAATCATAATAATAAAAATAATAATAATGTTAACTGCGGATCATTTCGATTGGATTTATCTATTATTTTTCTAAACATCTAATTGTGAACACATTGTTTCTAATACAGGTTAATTGTTATTTTGACAGCAGGGATTTTCATTCAGATTCGTTAATTGTTGTCTTTATTAGTTTCATTTTCGTAGCATCCAGCCGATTTGCCAGGCTGTTAATTTCACGTGCAATAGGATAATATTCCTGTCATAAGCATCCGGTTCAGAGAGACTCTCCATGCATATGTATAGCGCGTAAATAATTAAAGAGCTCTGTGTAGGACAAAACATCCGTGACCGACATCAGTGGGCACACACTGCCCTCCTTTCTCATCACTGGACGAAGCGTTCATTCCTGATTTCTGCTCCGTTTTCAGGTAACACAGATATGAAAGAACGCAAAGAGGATTGTAAGCCGCTGGAGGATGAGACACAGACTAAAATCAAGCAGAGAAGGAGTCGGACTAACTTTACCCTTGAGCAGCTGAATGAGCTGGAGAGACTGTTCGATGAAACGCACTATCCAGACGCCTTTATGAGAGAGGAGCTGAGCCAGAGACTCGGGCTGTCGGAGGCCAGGGTACAGGTCAGGCATGCATGTGCTGTCTACATGTGTGCTGATGCTGTGTGCATTATGGTTTCCCTTGCGAGAGGAGAAACACTTTCGATTAATGCTAGCTAATGTTGAACCTTAGAGGCTGTATGCAATTACATATTAAGTGCACAGTAATTATTTTTGCTATATATAGGCGATTGTATATATAATTAACGTGTCATTATTATGTAATTACATAGGCCTACATCCTGCTACACTCTAAAAAATGCTGGGTTAAATACAACCCAGTGCTGGGTAAAATAGGGACAAACCCAGCAATTGGGTTGTTTTGACCCAGCGGTTTGGTTAAATGTTTAACCCAACCTTCTGGGTAGTAACCCAACCGCTGGGTCAAAACAACCCAATTGCTGGGTTTGTCCCTATTTTACCCAGCACTGGGTTTATTTAACCCAGCATTTTTTAGAGTGTATGTGCAACATGAACGCGTAGCCTTCTAATCAGTTCATTAAATTATTGACACAGTATCATTAACAATGTAGAGTCTCCGAAATAATTTCTAAGTAATGAGAGATTAAAAATGTAAATGCATTTGAAATAAAATCGATTAATAACAAGAGTAGGCTAATATAGGTAGGCCTATACAAATTGTGCATGGGCACTCCTTGTAGATAGCCTAAACACAACGTTTCCAGCACAGAATAACGTCGTTATTATTAGTGTTATATGTGCATATTCACATACATAGCCTACCTCAGCGTGGTAAATAAAATTAGATATCAGCTTATGTGTTGAATGGTGGGATGATATTGTCGAAAAAGTTATATCACGCCGCTTAAATCAACGCCGCTGAGCGATAATGAACAAAACAACGAACTAAAATGATTCCCTGATTTGCGCGCATTGGCCTGCAGGCAACATCTGTAGTGTGCTTTTTAGGATGGGGAAGACCATCTGCACAGAAACATAATAAGGCTCAATATATGTGTAACAAGAGACGAGCGACTGAGCCGAATAATGATATTCAGCATAGACATTGGCTCTGGTGTGATTGATCAGAAGAAGAAGAACAATCTCTTATTTCATTCACTTGTATCTATTCATTCCTTGGGTGGGGATATAAAATGCACTCCTTGAATACATTGGTCCTTTTAAAAATGGGCTCAAAAGACCTCCCTGGAAAAAAAGTTAAACCATCGTCTCTCTTTGGGATCTTACCAAAGGGCATTGTCCCAAGCAAGGCCTGCGGATTTACATAAATTATCATCATCATTTTTACCCAAATAAAGATCTGATGCTCTTTTCATATTCAGCATTCACAGACAAGGCCACACCGCTGGCTCAAAGACTAACATGCTATTTAAACGGATAAATTCATAACGTATCGGGATTATTATCATATATTTATTATCGCGTTTCCACTTTCACTTACAGCAGAAATATCATGCAAATGCAGTGTCGATCAAAACGAATAAACAGTGCACTGGAACTGTGCGCGATTCAAAACAGATGCATGAGACATAATCATTTCCTATATCTCTAATGCCCATATAGGCTGTGTAACACAGACTTTCTTTCTGATGTAAGCAAGTCATGTCTTCATTTTAGCCTGCTATTAAAGTCCAGGCATGTATAGTCCCATGCTGGGTTTTTGCTATCAGAGGGTCGCTTTGCTTGTTCTGGGACTCGGATTAAACCATTAGAGAAAGACGATATATATTATGGCACTTTTTTCAGATGCACGAGTTTAAGATTGTTTAACATTTGAATAAATCTGTTTGTTTTGTGGTTATAGCTGGCCGCTTTTTACGTCAATTCGCCGCTCGTATAGAGATATAATAATTCAAATGTGCGGTTACGCATTATGAATATTTTAGAGGTCCTCAGGGATAGCTACACAGTTTTGCCGAGACTGTTGTCATTTTGGGAGGATTTACACATTCGCTCACCAACAGCTGTCAATCAGTGTCTTGTGTTTTCAGGTTTGGTTTCAGAACCGACGGGCCAAATGCAGAAAGCAGGAAAATCAGTTGCATAAAGGTGCGTTGGATTTAAACGCTCCACGTGCATTTGAATGCTTAGATTGCACAAAATAAATTAGGAATTGCTATTGTGTTATTCGTTTATTTATTCTGGCTTGCTGTTTTATTAAAACCTTATATATTGTTTTTGTTGTTAGATGATGGGATTTAGACGGGACGATTGCAACATACAGAATAAAACAAAAATTATACGTTGCACTACGGTGTAGCCAAGTTCATTTGATCTTTTTATTTGTATTTACTGTGAAATATGATAGCAATTCGTTTTTGAAGACATATAGATAACAAGTCAATGTCAACATTTTGCAGGAGTTCTCATCGGAGCGGCGAGTCAGTTCGAAGCGTGTCGTGTCGCTCCATATGTCAACGTGGGAGCTCTGCGCATGCCATTCCAGCAGGCAAGTTACAATGCAGAGGCGTCCTATTTCTATTTCTATGAATCACACACTCAGATTTCCCTCCTTTTTGTTATTGCAATGTCACCATGACTGAGAGATCTTGACGAAGAATATGCATAGATGAGTTGAGATTTGTGCATTTTTCGTGGGGGGGCATAGGCTATAGTTGCCAGCACAGTGGAATGCAGGTGTCCGAATGCATTTTTTATGATGATAAATGCAATTGATCCAGTGCCCAGTAACAGCTCTGCATAGTCTCTCTTAAGTTAATGTGTTTCTCCCCCTCTCTTCCCACCCGTGCGTCCATAGGATAGTCATTGCAACGTGCCGCCCTTCTCCTTTCAGGTGCAGGCGCAGCTGCAGCTGGACAGCGCCGTGGCCCACGCGCACCATCACCTGCACTCGCACCTGGCGGCGCACGCGCCCTACATGATGTTTCCCGCCCCGCCGTTCGGTTTGCCCCTGGCGACGCTCGCGGCGGAATCCGCCTCGGTGGTGGCGGCGGCGGCAGCGGCGGCAAAAAGCACCAACAAAAACTCAAGCATCGCGGATCTGAGACTGAAGGCGAAAAAGCACGCGGCGGCTCTGGGGCTGTGACGTCACTGAGCATCGCACGCGACAGAGAAACGCATTATTTATGTTTCCTCATGAAGGACACGCGAGAGAAAAAGGAGAGGCTATTTATGAGAACACAAACTGTGAAGTGGACAAACTTTACGTGGATATTTTCGCGGATGGAGGGACAACTCCACAAAATGTTGAACTACGAGAAAATAAAAAAGTTGAACTTTTGCAGAAGACAAGAAGCTGAATCTGAATATGATGATATAAAGCAGCTGGGACGATTGTTCGGCTGTTTGTGTGACAACAACGCGAACATTTCTGCTTTAATACGTTATTAGTAATTAATGAAAATAAAGAGGCTGGCCTCGTTTTATTTGAAACAAAGTTTCTCTGTGGATATTTGTGAAATATTACAGAAATCACTTTTGTTGCCAAACATGAAAACCGCAGTGTTAAACACGGATAAAACACGATTTCAGTTCAAGTTTATGCTCTTTGAGTTCTGAAACAAAATAAATGAGCATTAAACGAAACGATGATCGTTCCTTTGCTTATTAAAGAGTGTATTGTGAATATAATCCGATATCAGGAAATTATTCAACGGAGAGTCTCCGTCAGATGCCCATATTAGCACACATCAGGCTTTTATTCTCGGTGTAAAAATCTAATTCAGGTAACACACTAATATTGATATGGTACGGGCACGTGTAAAATACCTATGTTAATACCGACAAAATGAGTTTGGTTGTTTTATGCTTCATCAAGGCATTGTGGGAGCATATTCTGGATTTTCTTTGCTATTTCTTTTCGTTCTTGTTCCTTCATCTCTTTCTCAGTGTCTACAACCATATGTGAATCTCTCAATGTAATGTTCATGTTTTATAAGGGTTATAAAAGGACATCGACTGCGGGCACTCATTTTTATGATATCTATGATTTTATCATGACTGTGAAACTTGAGCTCACCTCAACACCGTGTTTTCGATTCATAAAATAAATGTAAAAAAAAAAAAAGATTGTAGCATCTGTGTCATGGTATTTACGTAGTTCGTATTATTTAATTTTTCTCTTTGCTATGTTGGTGCATGTGATGGAAGCGTTGGAACAGAATCCTTCATGCGCACGTTTAGAATTGCTCTTATAATTTAATGTCTGAAATTATACAATGTACAAATCGACCCGTTTCTGTTTTGTTTGGATGATTCTGTTGTGTATATTATGCATTATACAACGTTTGTTATTAGTAATGAATGTTATTATAACGTGTTGCCGAAAATCAATTATATGCATGACTATGCAAATACATATTTATTTATTAAGGGAAAACGTTGATCATAAAATCGCACGGACATTTTTCAGAGACTGAGCTTCATAAGAGCTTCTTCTGCAGTGAACAGTCAGATAATAACACTTTAGAAAAAGAAAACAAGAGGGGGGGATAATGGAATAAATATTTTCATATGAAATACTTTTGTTAAATAACAACTGAATACGTAATTGTGTATGTATATACATACATATACATGCATATCTCAATCGCATTCTTCTGTAGCTTCATCAACCCGCCTATCGACATCTAAAGCGGTTCTCTTGAGAATTTGATAAATAGCAATGACATCTCCTATCGTGAATAACCTGTCTGGTCAGATTACTGTCTGGATACAAAGTACAATGTTTTGGCCTATTAATTAATACTGTTTTAACAAAGAGGGCTTGTGTATCCAGCCCAGGGCCGGACTCGGACGCCAGTGCTATTGAATTATCGATTCCTCTTACTGCTTAAGTTGAGACAAACTTATGAATGAGGAAGCGCTGTTCAGAGGACGAAAGGTGGGTATTAACCCCAAATCGGATAAATTGACCAGCAGATTTGGACAGTGAGCTTTAAACATTTTTCTTCAAAGTGAGAGTCACCCCGGCAAACATATGACCTTGAACTAGAGCTAGAAAGTGATGTGACAAACTAGAAAGCTAAACTGCATTATAACAAATAACACATTAAATATAACAATAACAACCTACATTCTGAAATTACAATGTGTTATTATATTATGAAATGAATTCTTCCAGCTGCTGTCCGGCCTTGAAAGTTAATTGTAGAATTTACAGCAATGGCATGTAAAATGTGTGTGACTAATGGAGGACTAACACTGAACTTCTGGGGTGAGATAGAGGTTAAAGAACTGATGGGAGTCAAATCAAATCAATGTATTTATTTATTTAAAATAAAATGATGTTTAGAATTTTTTTCAGACAAATCAGGCTGTTTTCTCTCATAACACAATAAATTACTTTATAAAAACAAAAATAGGGAGATTTCCTTTCTTTGTAGGATCCCACAATGGGGAAAAACCCATTAGCCACTGCATGAATACATACTGGTAACAAATGTATAGCCTGAATGCACTGTAAGTCGCTTTGGATAAAAGCGTCTGCTAAATGCATAAATTATTATTATTATTAATTAATTATGATTATTATGAAAAATTTAATTTGGTATGCTTAGGCAAGCATAGGGACTTATCGGAAGAGTTTAACATGACTTTTCCTCTGGCTCAATTGTTAGAGAATGTGCTAACAATGGCAAGAGCATGGCTTTGCTCCAAAGCAACAACACACACTAATAAAACTCCAATGTGCTGTGTGTTGCAGATGCATGATGGTAAAAGAGATTTCTCTGTTTCTATTTAAGGCTGTTGTTTTATTGATAATAATTGTTTAAGGATTATGGAGGTTAGTGTTCAGTTTGGTTGGGGATTCAAGTTGGAAAGTCTCTTCAAGTTTGTGCAAAAGTATTTCGAGTGAATCCATTTGCTGACACTATGATAAATCTGGAGAACAGATGATGTTATCAAATTTGGACTATCAAGTCCTCCACAATAGTTCAGAAGAGCTGCCAAATATGCTTTTAAAATATAAGTGCATCTTGCAGTGCAAGTTTTTTTCTCTCTTTAAATTAGCAGTCTTGAAAACACATACACATATTGACACTCAGCATACAAAATATGACAATGGTGACAAACAATTAATTTTCATATAAAAAATAAATAAACCCAGAACATTACAAAACAAGCTGCTAAAAGTGACCACCAAAAACAACAACAGCAAGCAGTAAAAATGCAACAGTATCATTTATTCTGCCTGTGGAAGTCACACTATTACAGCTAATCTGTAAAAAATACAAGAGATTACTGTAATGACTGCTAGTCATCATAATTATACAGCTCAACTGTGCTAATCACAGTCATTTAATGGCCAATTTCACCACAGAAATTCAGAGAACGACGCTGTTTGTTTATTGTAATTACCGTGTTTTCCAGTAGGCTACTGTAAAAACTCCAGCAGCCCATTTATATGTTACAATACCTTACCGTGACAGTAAATGTAATTTACAGTATGCTTTAGAGATTCAGTGATTCTTTGACCTGAGGATGTAGTGTCATAACATGTCCAATTTACATTTGGATAGCATTAGTCCACTTTTTCTTTCAGTGTTAAGCCTTATCAATCTACAAGTACTCAAGGAGACAACAGGACGGGGACACTGAAGTACTTTTCAGATTAATGATGGAGAGAGCAATCATTTTTTCCCACACTCTCTTCAGTCAACAGGCTTCACACCAGCACAGAGTCACACCGGCTCCACATTCCTAGTACGTCTTCCTCTCCTTCATCTCGTTCCCTCTTCTCTCTCCGTTCTGCAATGATCTTTAAGATGCACAAGTGTGACTCACCGGAGTGGGAGGTTCACACAAACTGTATCCCAGCCTAGAAATGCGATAGTGAGAGCCATCCAAACCCCTGTAAACCTCAAGCAGTTAACCCTGCAGTGACGATAAGAACAGTTAAGCAGCATTTTGAGGGTCAGGCTCATCCCTTGAGCTGTCTATGCTGTATATCTGAGCTTCATGACCTGTTGCTAAATTTACCACTGTACAACTTGCCAGACAGTTAATGCTGAACAATCTTCAGGCTTTAGGCTTTTATCGTACAGCCGAGCAGAGCAACAGTGCTTCTGCCCATCACAGAGGCACCGTATCTACACTTAAGTTGTTTTATTGTTAAATCTGAAGCACGGAAAGTTCGCCGTCTCCACTGAAGCTGACATATTACATATGTCTCCGCGCCCATAAGAGAGACAGAGAGAGGTAGTGTGCTTGAGAAAATGTCAATGAATGTTGAATCAAACTCCGAAGCAGTCTTGAAAGGAGGTGAGGAGAGCGAGAGAACACAAAGATAAGGTAGCTCTCTAAAGGTTTGCCTTTATGTGCACACATCATCAGACTAAAGACAAGCAACATCAGGGGAGAGCAAGGAGATGAAAGACAGACTTCAAAGGGGCGAAATGGAGTGAAAATGAGACAGAAACCTGCCTAAAACTTGCTCAAATACACCAATTAAAGCAGCCTATTGCTTGGATTTGTCCTATGAGCAGTGCGTCTGTATGAACCACTTCTTAAGCAAAGTGTATCATTTAAAACGGCCCTCAATGGCGCTCAGTCAAGATGAAAACAATGGGACTGACCAAATAAAGGCCTGTTTTATAAAGGCTGGGAAAAATGGCAACACTCGCAGCAATTTAATCTATCTGTTAGGAAGAAAGCTGCACAATACTAAATGAAGTCAAACAAAGTGAGGAATTGTTTTCGGCATCCTGTTTAGGTAGTGCGGACGGACCGGCAAATCTTTTACGGACTATGAGCATTTATTTATTTTTGATGTAATTCCTGTTGCAGCTGGCACTAACGCAACTCGATAACAACAATTAACCGGCCCTGAGGGGAGGACAAAACCGAGGCATTTCATCCCCGCAAAGTGAAAATCACACAAGACATAACGTGTATTTACCCTTGTGATAGTAATACTGTAAGTTTACTCTCTCCAGTTGAAGTTGTAAATTAACCATACATAATTTTCTGTTTTATTTATTTGACTTGAATATATTTTCCATCAAGACGGAACATTGGAATATTCTTTGAAACAATGTGCTATGACAATAACCATACACTCACGTCATGTGATATTTATACTAAGAGTCTTGAATTACACAAATCTCAGAATGAACTCTACCGCTTTGTTGAAGTCAGTATTGTATACAGAAATTAACAGAATGTGTCTCAAAACAGCTGGCTGAGTATAGCAGTTCATAAACCGAGCAAAAAAAGCGCTATAAATCCACTTTCCACAACACTTTTTTTTTCACCAGCGTACATGAGAAATCCTTGAACCCCTCAAAGGAAAATCTCTCCACTTTTTTTATTCTCTAAATGTTTTTTATGGATCTTTAACAGTTCAAGCAGAGCTTTTGAGAAACAGAAATGCAGAAGTGTTCAGACACTCAAATTCACAGAGAATGTATCAAATGTGTAATATTAAGTATTATATTCAAGTTCTGATATTTAGATACATTTTTCAATTGGAGCTTGTCAGCAGTATTAACCTAGTAACATTGCTCAGAGTAAAGCCATGATTTACTTAATCAGAACCCCAAATGGGTGTATCATTTAAAACGGCCCTCAATGGCGCTCAGTCAAGATGAAAACAATGGGACTGACCAAATAAAAGCCTGATTTATAAAGGCTGGGAAAAACGGCAACACTCAGCAATTTAATCTATCTGTTGGGAAGAAAGCTGCACAATACTAAATGAAGTCAAACAAAGTGAGGAATTGTTTTCGGCATCCTGTTTAGGTAGTGCGGACGGACCGGCAAATCTTTTACGGACTATGAGCATTTATTTATTTTTGATGTAATTCCTGTTGCAGCTGGCACTAACGCAACTCGATAACAACAATTAACCGGCCCTGAGGGGAGGACAAAACCGAGGCATTTCATCCCCGCAAAGTGAAAATCACACAAGACATAACGTGTATTTACCCTTGTGATAGTAATACTGTAAGTTTACTCTCTCCAGTTGAAGTTGTAAATTAACCATACATAATTTTCTGTTTTATTTATTTGACTTGA